TATATATATATATATAGAAAAGAATAAACATCCAAGAGGTCGTGGGTTCAAATTTATGCATTGTTTTAATTCAGAGGTGGTCAGGAGGTCAGACACTACCACACATTGTACAAATTAGCATCTTTATCAGTGGCGAACGCATGACAAAATATCAAAAATAACATATATAATTTTAGGGGTAACACAACCTATCTAAAAAATTTCTCAAAAAAATTCATCGTGCCAAAAAATATAAAGGGTATTATGGGTTATCCGCGCAACCGTGTAGGTTTGCCCCTGATCTTTACCAAATGTGACTCTCATCCTCCAGACGGAGGATGCTTGAAAATCGGGGACGTCAAAGTGGGTGATCACTAGTACCTACAATCCATTTTATGTAACAATTGCATATTTGTATTTATTATATGAATGATTATTTAATATTCTAATCAAATAGTTGAAATGATGGTTTTAGGATTAAAAGGTATGATAGTTGAAGTTTGGTTTGTTAAACTAAGGTTGAATTTTGAAGAAAACAAGAAAAAAGGCAAAATAGAAGAACATGGTATCCACCTAACATGAAGTAGCACAAATCACACATCTAAAAATAGAGATATGATCCACCTCATTACAAATTAGGCCTCCACCATGTGGATTTGGCCATTATACCCCCCCTTTATTCAAACTATTTAGTAAACAAGGAAAAAAGTAGTCCTTAAATTATACTATATGGTTTTTTAAGATAAAGTAAATACATTTACAACTACACGAGCTTGTGGTTTCGCTTTCATATGTTAGGGAAATGAGGTGTACATATTTTTAGATACAAAATTAAACGGTTTTTTTTATAATGATGAATAATGGCTTGGTTACTTTCCAGCATATATTCATTTTTATCATATTTATAAATAAAAGACATTATAAAGAACATATATATAGCCTGTTTGAATAAACATGCTTCAGTTTTATTAATCTCATAAACATAATTAGATCAACGGTTTAACAAGTAAAGAATTGGGTTAGTACTTAGCACCCAACATCTGAAATATAAATCAAATTAAATGTAGAATAAAATATTGTCATTTGTTGGTTAAAAGTTGATGTATAATAAAAAAATTAAATGTAGAATAAAATATTGTCATTTGTTGGTTAAAAGTTGATGTATAATAAAAAAATTAAATGTAGAATAAAATATTGTTTTGTTGGCTAAAAGTTGATAAATAATATAAATTTTATATTCTTTGAAAAGAGTAAATTTATCTTGATTTAACCCCGCATAAACTTTGTTTTTTTTTAAAACATTATAACAAAGTAGGTGAATATTTGTTCGTTACACAAATTTAATTATGAAATAAAAATCATGATAAATATATTATGTTGTATGTTATTAACATTAACTATGAAATAATAATTGTTATACAAAATTGATTATCACAGTATTCAATAACTTCTACCTGCAACTTGCACATTAATAAAATTAAATATAGATGATGAATTTGTGTTACTTAACTATTCTTACTGAAAATTAATTTTAAAAAATATTTAGGTTTTGAGTTTAACATAATATTTAAATTAACATATTAAATTTATAATTTAAAAATTTTATAATTAATATGATAATATTTTACATTTAATATTATAATTAAATTAATAAATTTAATATATAAGATGGAAAATTAAAAGATTTGAAGGTTTCATATGAATGTGATGAAAAAAATATATTTAATATAGATGGTTATATAATAAACAAATTTGATTGAAACTCGTAAGTTTTTTTATTTTATTTTTTATAGTTAACATCATTCAAAATATTTAAAATGGTTGTTGATCGTTAAATAAGCTATATATTTAGTTAACTATTTAAAACATATTATTTATAAAGGAAAATGTATTTTAGAGAACATAAATTTTAAATCATATTATATACGTTTATAATCAAATAAAGATACAGTTACAAATAAGTCCATTTTTATCTAAGTGTAAAATAGTTTTATCTTTTAATTATATACACTTATACATAAACTCTTGGTTTTTTTTAACATAGATCCAAAACACATCATTTATATATATATAATTAACTCCTTTACAAAACCCAACATTTAATTTAAATATTTTTTGTATTTCTAAAAACATAGAGAGGCCTATAAATAGGTCTCACATTCCTCCCATTTCCCTCACTTCACTCTCAAATACTCAAAACCAACATTCTTCCTTTCTATACTTATATATATTCTTTCATTCTTAACCAATCCCAATGGCCAGTGTTGAGGTAATCCCACTCTCTTTTTTGCTTTAATATTTTATCAAATATTCATTCCACTAATCTTTTACTTTAAAGTGTTTTTCTGGATTTAATTTTATAAAATTGTTTTTATATTCTATTAGTCTGATAATTAGTTATAAAACATAAATTTCATTTATATAACAAATTTACTTGATGTATTATGTCATATTAATATAAGATCATGATCCAAACGATCGTAAATATGATATCTTTCTCTTTTACTACCCTTCGATTAACTAAAACCTTATGATCACTTGAAATTCTTTTTGCTCTCTATCAAACATGATCTATCTTGGTCGATCAACATTTTTATTTTGTTGATTTTGTTAATAAAACAAGAAAAAAAATGACATAAGAATTAAGAATAAAGAAATTGTTTGTTTATAGCTTTTTTCTTCAGATTTATACATGGATCTTTTTAAACATTTAAATGAAGATATTAAAACTTCGAAAATCCAAGTATTAAAAATGGATGGATGAATGATGATGATTCAGGTTGAATCAGCTGCAACAACTTTGCCGGAGACTCCTGTTACAAAGGAGGTAGAAACCACCATAGAGACACCAAAAGAAGCGGAGCCAGTAGTTGATACACCACCACCGGCTACTCCAGAGCTGGTGGCTGAGGAACCAAAGGAGGAAACCACCGTGGATGCTCCTCCACCAGAGGCGGAGGAGACTCCTGTGGAAGCTCCGGTGGAAATAGAGACAAAGGAAGTGACTGAGGAGCCAAAGAGTGTGGTTGAAGAAGAACCAAAGGAAGAGACTGAGACTCCGGTGAAGGAGGAGGAGCCAGCTGTTGAGGAAACTCCGGCAGCAGATGTAGTCGCTGAAGAAACTCCGGCAAAGGAGGAGGAGGTGACGGAAGAAGAAAAGCCGGCTGAAGTTGTTGCCAGTGACACCACTGAAGCGGCAGTTGAGAAGACAGAGTGATGAATTCGATCGAGAAAAAGGTGGAAGTTTGATTTATATGTTGGAGGTGTTTTTGTGGGCTTGAATATTCAAAAGCCATGTGGCAGTAGATGAATGGTGGGATATGATCACTTGGAATATCGAGTTTTATTCCAAGGATTTTATGTTTAATTATATGATTATGAGTGTGGTGAAATGTTATTCTGTAAGGTTTTCTAAATAATATTTGTTCTTTTTTAAATTTACATTTTCTTTTTAGAATGGCATGCATATTATAAGCCGCTAGCAAAGAACTACCAGGAAGGGACAAAATAAAACTTACAGGTAGACATTACTAGAGTTTATTGGAAAACACATCCAAGAATTACAATCAAGGCTAGACATTTTTATCCGATATTTCAAGCAATTATAGAGGTTAATTTGGATTTCGTCCTCCATCTTCATTGATGATACTCTAGATTTTCTAATAAGCAAAGAATTTCTATCCTTCCATATGTATCATAAAGTAGCATAAATGATAGACCAAATGAAATTTTGGACGTGTTGCTCGATATTGGCCCAAAACTGGCTAGGAGAAATGGCATCGAGTTAACAAAGCCAAGGCCTAATCCAACATCAATTAGCGATCATATCAGTATGACACAGTCCTATATGTCTCTATATGTATAGGAGTCTCCAATCTCTCTAAAAGGCTTTATAAAGAGATAATTTTGGACTTTGCATGTGTCTTACACCACCTAAAACCAAATTCGAAATCTACTCCACCTAAAAATAAAATCAGAGTGCATACATAGAAAAAGAAATCAATTAATAAATTTGTGTTTGTTACGGATTGTTATCGTCCAACGGATTGTTTCGATTTTACCAAATGAGATATATGTGAAACCTAAGAATGTCTTTCTAAAAACGCACAAACTCATTCATCGTTCATCTCATTAAGTGCGTACAAAAAGACCTATGGCCCAATGATATAAGTTTACGAATATATGTCCCACTACCAAATTTTCAGAGTTGGCATACTTTTTTTCAGCCCAACAGTTTACATTATTAAAATTGATGAATATCTTTAAAATTAATAAACATTACGAAGCATTTTTCTAGATTCTAATAGGAAAAATAAATATTTAGACAGTTTATTGATTAAAACAGATGAATATAATCTAGAAAAAGAAACATGTCATATTATAAAACACTTATAGCTCACCTCACTTCTTCAACCATGACTCACATTCGTGATGTTGAGGATCAAACTAGATATACAAGTATGCAGTTTACACAACTCACCTTAAAAAAATTCAATTACCTAAAATGTTGAAATGCCGCTAAAATAACCAAGAAAAGATGAAGAAAACGGCCTTCTTTATTTACTGACATAACATATATATATATATATATATTATATATATATATATATATATACC